AAAAAAAAACAAAGTTTAAAAATGTTTAATTCACAAGCTTATATGACCATAACTAAACATTCATCCCTACAATCAATTCGGGAATCTAAAGAATATAAGCCGTAATTTGGAGATGAACAGAAATGGAGTTCCACATATTGTTTAAAGGAACAAAGTGAATATATTAATCACCATACCTGACGGGAAGGGAGTAATCTAGCAGTCCATCCTTCAATCTCCTTAACTTCAACATCAAATGGAGGACTAATGACGCCACACTTGTTTAACCTTAAAAAACTTTGGAGCTTTGAATTCGAATTTGGGTTTTCAAAAATCATTATTTGTTTGGATTGAGTGTTGTTGCAAACAATTGAGAATATTGTTTGGAGTTTATATTTCAATTTTGAGGGTGTTGGGTGAAGATTAGATTTGATTTTGGCTGAATTTCATATTGAAACTCGAAGAAGAAGAAGAAGAAGAAGAAGAAATGACATACAATATACTTACAAAATTATAATAAAGTTGTAGTATAATTATATGTAAATTGTATTTTGTTGTAGTTATATTTTTTTTTTTTTTTTGAATGTTGTATGAAAGTTAAAAAATAGTTGTATAACGTATGAATCGTTGTATAAAATTTGTATTTAAGATATCAATACAATCTTTTTACATAAAGTTATTGATATGTATCAAAATTATATTAAGAGAGTAAGTTTTGATTGGAATTTTAGAGAAGAAGAAGCATACACCATAGATAAAATATATACAAATCAGATACAACATATATACAAAGACATATTGTATAAAATTTGTATAAAAAATATATTTAAATTGTATGATATTGTAGTTGTATATAACTGGGTAGAAATAATGTATGAAAGTTGTAGATAAATTGTACATAAGTTGTATAATATATAATTAGTTGTATAAAATTTGTTTTTACTATGTATAAATCAGATACAAAATATAGAAATGACATATTGTATAAAATTTATATAAAAATTATATTTAAGTTGTATGAAATTATAGTTGTATTTAATTGGGTAGAAATAATGCATGAAAGTTGTAGATAAGTTGTAAATAAGTTGCATAATATATACTTACTATGTATAAATCAAATACAAAATATACAAAAGACATATTGTATAAAATTTGTTTTTACTATGTATAAATCAAATACAAAATATACAAAAGACATATTGTATAAAATTTGTATAAAAATTATATTTAAGTTGTATGATATTGCAGTTGTATTTAAGCACACATCATAGTTGTATAATAAAGTTTCAAATCAGACACCACAGATATGTCGATTACATTTTGAACCTAACTTTTAACGTGCAATGGGTTCAGTGCTAAAAACATAAAGATTGAATGAAAATTAAAATTCTGGATCCGTCTCTGCTTGCGCTTCTGCTTGAGAATAACATATGTATCTCATATGTATAAATTTCATTTTGATAAAAAGATAAAGATATACATGGGAGAAGGTTGGCATGTAAACTACCACTTTAGACACTTTGATTATTGTTCCCCTCCAAACTTCTATGTCAGGGTAGATGTAACGACCCGGCTGGTCGCTTTGAGCGTAATAGCCCCGATCCCCTAATTACTGCTTTTCATGTATCATTTTATGCTTATGGAAGCTTAAGTTCTAGGAATTTGACCGTAATTAGAACTATGTGAAGAGGACTCTGGAATGGAGTTTCGTCGGTTCTGTTAGCTCCATTGGGTGATTTTGGACTTAGGAGCGTGTCCGGATTATAAATTGGAGGTCTGTAGCTGAATTAGTCTTGAAATGGCGAAAGTTGAATTTTTGAGAAGTTTGACCGGAAGTGGACTTTTTATTATCGGGGTCGGATTCCGATTCCGAAAGTTGGAGTAGGTGTGTAATGTCGAATATGACTTGTGTGCAAAATTTTTAGTTCAATCGGACGTGAATTGATAGGTTTCGGCATCGGTTGTAGAAGTTTGAAATTTCAAGTTCATTAAGTTTGAATTGGAGTGCGATTCGTGTTTTTGTTGTTGTTTGATGTGATTTGAGGGCTCGACTAAATTCGTTTGATGTTTTATAACTTGTTGGTATGTTTGGTTGAGGTTAGCCTCGGGTGGATTCCGAGTGGTTACCGGACTAGAATTAGACTTGGTGTTATAGTTGAAGCATCAGATTTTGCTTGTGTCTGGTTTCCTTCTACGCGTTCGCGAAAGTTCTCCCGCGTTCGCGTAGAGAAGGTTTGAGTCCTGCTGGAATTTGGCTTTCGCATTCGTGATGTAGGTCTCGTGTTTGCGAAGCTCTAAGGTATTAGGTCTACGCGTTTGCGATAGGGACCTCGCATTCGCATAGAGAAACTGATCTGTGGGGTCATAAGGCATTTAGCCTACGCATTCGCGATGAGGGTCCCTCGTTCGCGAAGGGTCAGGCTGTGTAAACTCCGCGTTCGCGAGAGGTCACTCGCGTTCGTGAAGGAGGATTTTTTGCTGTAGAGTTTTTGGTGCTTCGCGAACGCGCGGGATCTTCCGCGTTCGCGATGAAGACAAGATCTGGGCAGATATAAACATTTCAAAATCGAGGGTTTGCTACTTTCATCATAACTTGAGATAGAGAGCTCGGATTTAGGCGAGATTTTGAGGGCTTTTCAGAGGCATCGATTGGGTAATGATTCTTCACTTGTTTTTGGTTATATCATAATAATCTATCATTAATTTCACCTTCTAATTTAAGATTTGAGTAGAGAAATTTTGGAAAAAGTGGAAGAAGTTCTTCAACCGAACTTTTGGGTTTTGATTGAGATTTTGGTATCGGATTTGAGTAATTTTGGTACGAGTGAACTCGTGGTTGAATGGGTATTCGTATTTTGTGACTTTTACCCGATTCTGAGATGTGGGCACGGGTCGACATTTTGGGGAAATTTTCTAAATTCTTGTTAAAGTCTTGATTTCATTAATTAGATTAGTTTATTATAGTTGTATTTATAGTATGTAATTGCTTTTGGCTAGATTTGGGCCATCCGGAGTCGGAAAGTCGAGGAAAAGACATTCTTACTGATTGATTGAGCTTGGTTCGAGGTAAGTGGCTTGCCTAACCTTGTGTGGGGGAAATCCCCTTAGGATTTGGTACTGTTGTGATACTTCTGTGATATATGAGTATCGTGTACGCGAGGTGACGAGTGCGTATATGTGCTAATTATTATAAAACCTGGTTTTTACTGAGGAGTAACCTATTACATCTTAATTGAGTTATACCAGCATGTGTAGTTATCTTGTTAGCCTAATATCGCATGTCTACGTGTCTTAATTGCTTATTTGAAACATGTACAACATGCTTAGTTGATTTTCTATTTTTTCTTGACTTGTGTTTAGTCATAAAATGTAGGATTTCTTGCTGTAATTGTTGTTTCCATCGTTTTCGAGCTGTGTGTTTACTTTTGGGATTACGAGGCGGTACCTCGGGAGATCCCCCTGCATATTACTTTTGGGAGTACGAGGTGGTACCTCGAGAGATCCCCCTACATATTTACTTTTGGGAGTACGAGGTGGTACCTCGAGAGATCCCCCTGCATATTTACTTTTGGGACTACGAGACGGTACCTCGGGAGATCCCCTATTGGGCATTTCCTTTTGGGACTACAAGACGGTATCTCGAGAGTGCCCCCGTTGTTTATCCCTATGTGATGTGCTGTTATCTTTCTGTAGTTTCTCCTCGTTAAATTTCCAGTCTCTTATTACATTGCTATATTTTTCTTCCTTAAATTATTATATACCAGTAGGACCCTGACTAGACCTCGTCACTACTCTACCGAGGTTAGGCTTGGCACTTACTGGGTACCGTTGTGGTGTACTCATACTACTCTTCTGCATAAGTTTTGTGTGCAGATCCATGTACCTCCTACTAGCCCCGCTATTAGTTGCGTACTTGCTGCTGCTCCGGAGACTTCAAGGTATATCTGTCAGCGTCCGTAGACCTCGAGATTACTCCCTATCCCTTTCATGTTGTTCCTCCTTTATTTCTTCTAGTTACTAATGTATAGAAACAGTTAGACAAATTCTTAGAGCTTGTCACTTGTGATTACTGGGTTTTGGGAATATTGTTATACTCGAGTTGTTGGTTACTTGTACATATCGAGCGACATTTTTTCGTTATATAGTTATCTATTGAAATTAGTGGTTGTTTCTGTCTCTATTTTTTATTATTCTGCAATTGTTAGGCTTACCTAGTCGTAGAGACTAGGTGATGTCACGACATCTTACGGAGGGAGAATTGGGTCGTGACAATAAGTTGTTGGTTAGGACATTACCAGAACATTGACAGATATTATTTATAGTTTACATTATTGACAAAATTAAATTATTGAGAAAATTACAGGTAGGAATTACGGGAGTTCCCGGTGATACTAAGAAGATGTGCAGAACTAGGATAGTTGACGATCAATGGATACCGATATAGAATGAGGAATTCGAATTCCCAATTCGTGTTCATGAACACTCTCGCCTAGGCGCACTCTGGACCATGAGATTGAGTTGGTGCCGGGTGCGAAGCCAACCACCTGGGCGCCTTACAGAATGTCACAACCTGAGCTCACCGAGCTTCGAAGAGAGTTGACGAAAATGCTAGACACAGGGATCATTGTGCCCTCCAAGTCCCCTTATGGGTCCCCTGTGCTATTCCAAAAGAAACAGGATGGCATCGTACGACTCTGTGTGGATTATTGGGCCCTAAAAGAAATCACCGTGAAAAACAAGTACCATATCCCACTAATGGCAGACTTGTTCGATAGATAGGGCGGGGACACAATGTTCATCAAAATAGACCTAAAGACTGGCTACTGGTAAGTCTGAGTTGCTAAAGAAAATGAATACAAGATGACCCGTGTGATAAGATACAGTTCATACGACTTCCTGGTCATGCATTCGGCTTGACTAATGCTCCAGCCACATTTTGCACATTGATGAACCAATTCTTCTGAGAGTACATCGACGAGTTCCTAGTAGTGTACTTGGACGACATTGTGATATATAGTAAGATGTTGGAGGAACACTTGGAGCAACTGCGGAAGGTCTTAGCCCGACTACAGGAGCACGAAGTCTATGTGAAGTTGTCCAAGTATGCATTCGCCCAAAAACATATTCACTTCCTCGGACATGTCATCGAGGAAGGGCGGATAAAGATGTACCAACAAAAGATTCATGTTGTCACAGATTGGCCGCCGCCTAAGGATATCCACGCCTTGAGGGCATTCCTTGGCCTGTGCAACTTTTATCGGAAATTTGTAAAGGTATATTCTCTCATTGCATTACCGTTGACAGAACTCCTGAAGAAAGTCACGCCTTGGGATTGGGGTCCCAAGCAAGTGGAGGCCTTCAACGCATCGAGAGCGGCTATGTCTAGTAGCCCCGTCTTGGCCCTTCCTGATTGGGCCAAGCCATTCGAAGTAAATACGGATGCCTCCGACTATGCTCTGGACGGAGTCTTGCTAAAGAGGGGTATCCAGTGGCGTACGAGAGACAGAAGTTGAAGGATGCAGAACGGTGCTATGCCGCCCACGAAATAGAACTATTGGTTGTAGTCCATTGCTTACACCTTTGGAGGAACTATCTACTAGGAACTCTATTCGTGATCAAGACAGACATCACAAATATTAGCCATTTCATGACCCAACCAAAGCTGAATGGCCGACATACCAGGTGGCAGGAACTCCTAGCGAAATTTCACTTCAACCTGGAGTACGGAAGCGGGAAGACCACCCAAGTTGATGATGCGCTCAGTCGAAGGGCCGACTTAGCATCAGTATGCCTACTCGCCACCCTAAGGGGGAGCAAAGTGGCCACCACTATATGAGACCATATACAAGTCCCAACAGATCCTGCTGCACAGTATTTGGTCGACATGGTAGGATCGGGCAAGACTCGCTAGTTCTACATGGAAGATGGGTTCCTGAAGGTGAAAGGAAACTGATTTTATGTTCCTAAAGGAGGAGATCTGCGAAGGACTCTTCTGATGGAATGCCATGATACTTTGTGGGCCGGCCATCTAGGTGGAGAACGCATCATAGCGTTATTGCGCCGTGCTTATTATTAGCCTCAAATGGCTAATGATGTTACTCAGTATGTGAAGACTTTCTTAGTATGCCAGAAAGACAAGTCAGACTGCTTGACACAAGCAGGCCTTTTGGATCCATTGCTTGTTCCAAAGAGACCTTGGGAAAGGGTTTCACTGGATTTCATCACCGGGCTACCCAAGGTCGGAGATCTCACAACTATCTTAGTTTTAGTAGATCGATTTTCCAAGTAAGCTACATTTATAGTTGCCCCACAATATATATCAGCAGAAGATAAAGATAAAATCTTCTTCTCTCATGTTGTCAAATATTGGGGTTTGCCTAAAGACATCGTTAGTAATCACGACTCTCGCTTCACTAGCAACATTTGGGCTCAGCTCTTTAAGCGTATCGGGTCCAAATTGAGCCATAGTTCAAGTTTTCATCCACAATATGATGGCCAGATAGAGCGGTTCAATGGCATGCTGGAGGAATATCTCAGCCATTATGTTATCGGATCATAGAAGAATTGGGTGAAGCTTCTAGATGTTGCTCAACTATGTTTCAATTCACAAAAGAGCTCTACTACAAACAAAAGCGCTTTTGAAATTGTTACCGGACAGCAACCGCTACTCCCACACACTGTGAATGCCCCAAACATGTCAAAATCTCCTTGCGCTCCTAGCTTCTGGAAGGAATGGAAGCAAAATTTGGAGATAGTGCATAGCTATCTGGTCAAATCCCAAAAGCTGATGAAGAAGCATACTGATCAAAATCATCGCTTTGTTAAATACCAAGTAGGAGACAAAGTGATGGTGAAAAGTTCAAAGTGATACTTGTTTGCAGGGGTCCATGACCCTTGTCTATTGCAAAAATACATTGGACTTTTGTCCATTGAGAAGCGCATTAGGAAAGTTGCATACCGGGTGGATACTCCAGCCTGGTGGAAGATTCATCCAGTCTTCCATGTCAGTCTTCTGAAACCTTTTCGGGAAGACATGGAGGATCCTTCACGTAGCCAACTCACAATACCCAGTATTCGAGGGCCCAACTCAACTCGGAACAAAGGGGGGTAGAAGTTATTCTCAATGATCGAGTGGTTCATGCTTCAAGGAAAGATCACCAAGAGTTCTTGGTGAAATGGCAGGGCTGTGATGCAGAAGAGAATACTTGGGAGAGGGGAACAAACCTCAAAAACTACAAGAGCTTGATCGATGATTATTTTGCAAGTAAGGCACCGAGGATGTCGCCAACTAAGGTGGGGGACAATGTCATAGGCGGCTTTCCAGCCATGCCCCATGACCCCTTGGATGCGCCCCATAGCGTCCTGGCAAGCCTCCGAACGCCTAGCGCCATGGTCGGCCCCGTGGTCTTGGTCGTGCCAAGTGACAAGCGTGCCTGTGGCTATATCTCCCCACCGATAGCCCTTGCCAGTGTCCAGCCGCAGGCAGATGCCAATAGTGCCGCGCGTGGAGACAGTGCCGCGCGCGCAGACTCTGATGCTAAAGACAAGGTTGCTGCCAATGGACCGGCTTCTACTTTGTAGTAATCTAAGTCATTTTCATTATAAATATAGAGTAGTTTTATTTCATGTATTTCCATTATGTCTCTCTAACTTAGTAGGTCAAGTCCTGTAACTTTGGTTTACTTTTTTTAAGAACTATTATGGCGATCAAGCAATCAAATTTTCTAGCAAGCAAACAATTCTCTGTATTGGTGTCTCTCCCCCTCAACATCGTGTTGCTTTTCTGTAATAGCTTTCATTAATGCAATCAAGCTTTCTTTCATTCTCAATTCTCTTTTTTGTTATCTCAATTGCTCTTGACATTAGTTTTTCCATACGGCACTGACAATCTCATCTAGCGTACGGAGGAGACCTTAGTTGGTGGATAGTAACTACACAGACATCGGTTGCATAGCCTTACGTCGCCCTTCCAAGGAATCTCAGGAAGGTGCTGCGTAACAGTATGGATGTGCATTTACAAACAAACTCACGTAATAAGTCAAATATGATTTTAGAGAAAATCCCTCAAGAAGAGTAAGTTTTAGTCAACTTACCTAAAGTCCAAGCTTCAACTAGTACTATGATGCTCCAATTTGTTTAAAATACTCAAACGACATCAACAAGCCAATATATACATTTATGAGTTCACATATATCATTAACGCATCACAACAATACCAATTAAACCAACTAAGTGCCTAGCACTTAGGTCCAATTTCACAACTTTCACAAACATATCTATTTCACCATTTAAAGGTCAATCCTTGAATGTTAACACTACTTCATCCATTAAATGTGCTATGAAATCTAGTCGTTCCATTAGAAACTCAAAACAACATCGCTCAAATAAACCCAGCACTATTTATCTTCCCTACCAACAAGCTTTTCAATGTCAAAGCTAGGGTTCATCTATTCCACTCTTTCAATTACTTTTCCAACTCATAAGTAATATTAAAACACTCATTTATACTCTATAAATAAGTTTTAAGTAGTGGAAATTATCTTTGAAAACAAACCCTAGAAAATCCCTCTTTTGGTGTTCTTGGTTGATTTGATGAAATCTAGCAAACCCAAGGATGTTGCAATGTTAATACTAGTGAAGCTCAACATTAATTAGCATAAAATATGGATAAAACTCACCTTGGAGTGTATGGAATACACATAGACGAAAACCTCTCTCTCTAGAACCCCAAAACCTTTAAAATCTTCTTTCTTTTCTCTCTCTCCGAAACTCCCTTTATTTATAGAACATGGGTCTGTGTGGGCCACGCATCCTGGCCATGTAGCCTGCGTGGGCCATGTAACTTGGCCACGCAGCTGGAGGTCTTCTTCTCTTCTTTATCCCTTCTTCTCGAATAGGCAACGTAGCCTGCGTGGGTCATGCATCTTGGCCACGCAGTGTTTAGTGATTTTTCTAATCTTCTTTATTCAATTTTCCAAAGTTATTTCCTTAGACACTTAACTTAGGGACATCTGGCCCTCATGACCTTCATGTCCAAGTATTTTGATGGTTCTGATACCCTTATGTGGGTCCGCACATACTTGAAGGTCTCACTTATTATTCTCTTAAGCTCGAATTAGGCTTAATCTTATTAGAAAAATTTCTGGGGCTTTATAATCTCCCCCACTTAGAAATATTCGTCCTTGAATGTCAAGTTGAAGTCGTAATCAAGTTCAATATCCAATCATAACCTTTCTAAACCTTTGCATCAAATAGCATCTTATTACTCATCCTTTTGACTAACACCCCAAAATTTTAAAAATTCGACAGAGTCTCCTTTATAAATAGGACCATCCGAAAATATACATATGCCTGCCAACTATACGTATACGATATATATAAAGCACGACGGCCCCATGTGGCTCGCATTTAACACAATACACCTCTATATACCAGTTTAATACATTCTACCAAACACCAATGATTACATTGCAAGTCTCAAAAAAAAATATAAGGCACATTAGCACACTATTCAAGCCTAAGTTCCATTTTCTTAAAATAAATAAGGATATCTTTTCTTCATCTCATCCTACACTTCCCATGTATCTTCTTCAACAACTTAACTTCGCCATAACACCGTAACTGATCCCTCATCTTCCAGACTTGTCTATCAAGTATAGCAATAGAAATTTCCTCATATGTTAGTAATTTATTTATCTCAATGGTTTACGGTGAAATAGCATGCGAGAGATCTCTTAGACACTCGCATCATAACAATAATAAGGTATACACCCTGAGACAGGTCTAGCCACTATAGGCAATACATGAATCAACTACATCAATAATGTACAGAATCTCAACTCATAAGGAATATAAATAATTTATTCACTCGCTTCACGGAATAAGCATGATACACATCGAACTAAAAGAAGGTTCTAAGAAATGGTCATACTTGAAGTCAGGAACAAGTGAGGGCATCGTATTTTCACTTCGCTCGTCGGCCCTCCAAGTGGCCTTCTTGACATCATAATTACGCCATAATACATTCATTGAATTTATGACTATAATTCTCGACTCACAAACTTGCATCACATGAGTGTCAACCGATCCTTCCTCATAAATCAACCCATCATTATCAATATCTAAACATGCAACCAAGAATAGAAAATAACATTACCTCTAAGGTTATATCATATACAGTGGAAATCAAACGTGACTCATCATCCTTATACTCTCGTAGTTAGGAAATTATAAGATCAAATCTACTAAGGGTAGTTCCGGTAGTAAAGTAAACTCACGCGCACACCTTCGCTCATTTTAGAAACCTCACGCAACCTCGAAAAAGCAGGCTCTTCTATATGGGCCTGGCAATACCTTTCATTAACAATTTTATTTTATGAATATTATATCATATTTCTTAAACCCATGTTCTTGGAGAAGTTTGTCCGAATAACAACTTTACACTTGAGGTGTCATATATTTATTTTCATCCCTACATCTTTTGTAGTTCTCTTATTTCACCATAAGGCTTAAA